TCTGGCGCTGCTGACAGTGCCCTTCTCCCTGAGCTGAGGCAGGCCAATTAGCAGGTGGCAGCCCTAGCAGGAGAGCTGGCCCTGGAGCCCCAGTGAAGGAAGCCTGGGAATGGAGCCACCTGAACCTCACTGAGGGTGAAGACCTGAGGCCCAGTAAGGCACCTGCAGCAGCTGTTGCCACTGCCCAGAGCAGCCGCCAAGGCCTCCCATAATGAATGCCTGCTGGGCAAATGGGCAGCTAGGCTCTTGCTACCCTTTGCTTCTAGCTCTCCAAGCAGTCTACCAGACCAACCGCTCCAATTCTGCCCACCAAAGCTAAAGATCAAAGGGTCAAGTGGGGGGTTGGGTCACATTGTTGCCATCCCAGGTACATTCTAGGCACCATTTCAACTATATTCCAAGTTCATGAGAAGTCCTTAACCTCTTGGATCTATTTAAGGTCCACGCAGAGTAGCAAAAAGCACATAGCCATCAGAATGACCCCCAACCCAGGTGACCCAGTCTGGACTGGGGCACTGCTTCATCCTTTGACCCTGGACACCTCCTCTCAACAGGCCTCAGTATCCCCACTTGAAAAATGATGGGGATGCTGGCTTTGATTAGGACCCTGTGACTTCCTCTTAGCTGGTTCCCACATGCTCCAGTTAACCCACATATGGTTACTCCCTTTAATGTATTTTAGTAAATCCACCTTCCCTGCTCCCCACTTTGTCTTTGGTGAAGCTTCTCACCCCCTGCACCTCTGGCCTGCATCCCAATTATTCTCTGAATAACTAAATAAATCTTTAAAAAAGAAATACAGTTCGTAAAACTTCCAATTAGCTCAAAACGGAAGTGTATGGAGGGAGAGATATTTCCAAATTCCACATCCTGATGGCGCTTCCTCACCTGGATCCCCAATGTATGCCCCCTGCTGATGTTCTGGCCCCAGAATGGGCTCAAATCACCCCTACCACTGACTCTCTCAAAGTCACCCAGGCAAGTTAAGGTGAAACAAACACTGGAGATTCCAAGGCAGTGGACAGGCGCTCACAGCTCAATAGGCTAACTCACTGCAGCAGGCACCCTGAAGAGACCCGATCCTTCATTCCCAGCTAACTATTCCATGGCCACGCCATTCTATCACCTACCACTGGAGAGTTCAGTCACAACCACACAGGGACACTCCCAAGGCTCCCTCCAGGTCTGTCTTCGCTTAGTAATGCTCCCCCCCAAAACAAGTGTTTCTTCTGGAAACTCCTGGCACTGTCTACACATAGGATGAGTCTCGCCCCCAGCCTGCTCCCCCAGCAATACTTATACTGCAGCTCTTATAGTACCCTCAGGACCCAGAACACTCAGCTGGCCAAAGATAGAGAGAACATAGCCAGTTGTGTACTTCTCTTAGGACAGAGGTTTCAAACCAGTTAAATCTCAAATGTCCTCCACCAAACAAAAACTCAAAAGGTCAGACTCAGAGGCAGAATTACTCCAGTTGAAGTAGATAAGGGCGCAGCCAGCCTCCCACAGTTGCTGCTAGCTACTTTAAAGCCCTGGCAGGACAACTTCACCACCCTAGCCAGCCAGAACTCTACCAAGGTTCCCTCCCATTAGCTCATTACATTCACTCTGAATGTAACCCCCAGCTCTTCTCCGATCCAATGGAGAAAAAGCCAATGTCTGATCTCTAGAATTGTCAGAACTTCCTAGCCAATCCGCCTCCTTGCAGACAATGTCCCTCTGTCTCCATACACTCAGGCAAGAATATAATATTTCACAAGGACACTTTCTGGAGATTAGAGACTTTGGGGAAGGGGGTTGATGGAGATTATGGACCCCGTGGCATCCACAGGCTAGGGTGGGCCCAACAGGTCAATCATTATAAGTGACATCCCCTGCCAAATGCTACAGAAAGACATGGGCCAGGTATTGAGCTGGCTCAGCCACACACACATGGATTCCCAGGCCTTCCACTCAGTCCTAGCCTATTCCATGTGTCCCAAGCTTTCCCCACTCATTAAAATCGCCAAGTTTCCACCCACTGTGAATTTGGGGGTACTCTTATTGCTCTGGCTAACATCTGAGCACTATCTTCTCTGGGACTTTTCTATTTTAAGGCAGCTCAGTTCCCTTCTATAGCTGCCAAAAGACCCCCTACTTCTACCCCTCACCCTTTCCTGGAACTCAGGCTATGGTCTGCTCCTGTTCTAGACTCTTGTAGAGCAGCCTGACAAAATTGCTTTTATGCAGACTTTTCTCAGTCTGCATGGTGCCCAGAGATGCCTCACACACAGGCTGTCCCACAGTACTCCAAACTGGTCCCCCAAGGGTTTATGTGCAGAAAGACAGAGTTCCAGCCACTATAGCTCAGTTTTCTGTGTGGCCAAGCTAAGGACAGCTGACCAGAGAGCTGGGGCTGACACACAAACTACAACACTGGGATCCAGCCAGCATTCCAGAGTCCCCACCTAAGACCAACAAATGCTTCCCTCCTGACTCTTCTCAGTGGCCCCAGAACACTTACTGTCCCATGAGACCAACTCTAGCCCAGGCTTAGGCACAGGTATAAACTGCCAGAACAAGAGCTGCTCTCCATCTCCTTCATCCACAGTTCTCTGAGACCCCCCCTGCCCCTCGCCCCAGTCTCTGGGGAAGCAGGTGAATTTCTCAAGCCTCCTCCCCCTCCTCCTGGCAGCAGGAATACTGGCCTTCATCACCCCTTCATGAAACAGAAAGCAACAGTTGCTGTCATTCCATCTGAAGCACATCCACAACAAACCTAGCATCAGACACCTAATCGCCCCCCCACACCCCTCCCAAACCCCCCTGCCCCCACCACCAACTCTCTCTCTCTCTCATGCACTTAAAGGTGGTCAGCTGTTAGCGCTGGGGATGTCAGAGAAGCCCAGTGTCTCATTAGTGGCCTTTCTTTGGTCCCAGGGCAGCAAGAAAGAGGTGTCAGAGGGAGCCTCATATTCCTTCTTCTTTGTCTCAGGGACACTTTCTTGCCCACTGCAGTCTCTGAGACTTTTCCTATTTTTTCACCTGACTTTGTTCCCCAGGGTGCAAGGTCAGGCTAAAAAGAGGGGCAGAGGTGACCCCCTTGTTCTGCACTATAGGCAGCCTGGCATCTCTCTCCCCAACAGGTGGCTAAGCCTCTACCAGCATGCTTCATAGAAATCCCGGAGAAGCCCCTTACTCTCCCAATATGCCTGGTTTCTTTATCCCAGGCAAGAGGGACGATGGTACTCCCACTGCTCCAGCCCCCACCCCAGGAGAATCAAGTCCAGAGCACAGCTGACAGGCTCCCACAGGAGGAGGAGGGAGGGGGAAGGGCTTTCATCAAAGAGGTGACGTCAAAACCAGGCAACTTGTGAAGCTGTCAGGGGCCGGGAAATTTGGACAAAGGTGTCTAAAAATAAATCCCTGAAGCCAGGAAAAGGCTTTGGTGGCTGAGTTGCTCGCCACCACACCACATGCCACACGATCTGTTCTGAGGTCTGGAACCCAGAAGTCTCCTTCCAAGTGGTGTTCCTCAGGATCAGTACTTGAGGCTCGCACAGATAAAGTGGCACACACTGCTCTTTCCTTGGGTGAAGCAGAAGTCCCCTCAGGCAGCCCTTACCTTTACCAGCCAACCTTCCTGCCTCCAGTCTCACGCTGGCCCCAGTCTCCAGCCTAACCTCACTCTCAGGCAAGCATCCTCCCAGCATCCTCTGGCTGCCACTCTCTGGCTCACAAAGAAAACCCCCTCTCTCCCCTCCCAACATTCAACACACCCACAAGCATCAGCTCTACCTCTCAATCTCCAACATGTGTGAACCTCTATAGCCCCTGCCCTAGCCCAGGCCACAGCCATTCACAGGAGGATTCATGAGAGCCTGCTAACTAAACATCATTACCAGGCCATTGTCCACAGTCCATTTCCACCCTGCCCAGGGATGGAAGAGCCTGTCTTGTACAAGAGGAGCTCAGATATTTTCCTTTCCTGGCTGGAACACCACACTGACTTCCCACTGCCTTTAGACCAAACCCATGTTTTTACTCTGCTCTTTGTCTAGAACCTTCTCTTCCGCTCCCCAAGGGCTCTTGAGGATTGTGCCTGAGGTTAGCTCCTCTAAAAGGGTGTCTTTGACCACTCTATCCAAGTTGGTTTCTTGCTTTTCTCACTGTGTTCTTCTCTAACACATATCCCATTTTTCATCTTAACATTTATTATCTGTGTCCTAACTCATGAACCTGACTTTAAATGCCTATTTCACAAACAAACACATAACATGATGGCTAGTATAGTTCCTGGCACATACTCAATAAATACAAGTTGAACAGATAAATAAACAATTGATTCCAAGTTCACATCTGGTCATTTATCTAGCACTTGATTTTATAAAATGTTTTCTACAGGTAGAAATTCACAATGAGGCAGTTTTAGAAATGTCCATGGACAAGACCACTGTCAGATCTCCCAGTGGCTGTCTCTCTTCTTTCAGGCAGGCCGGCCTACCAGTGCTGCCAACAACTGGGTTGAGCACTGCCCTAGTGCTGAGTTCAGGACGCACGTGCATACGTCCATACAGTGTTAGGCCAGGTACAACACACTGATGCCTGGGGTCTACGCAGCCCCTGGGTACCTCGGGGCCCTCACTCAGCAGGCTTTAACAGGGTGTGGACAGGGTGGACCTTCTGTCCATCTGAGTCTGGAATGGGGCTAAGTACTAGGGATCTCTCTGGTCCAACCCAGAGTTCATCTAACCGGATCAGATTTCTGAGTAAGCTCCCCTGCTTCTGGGAGATGCTGGTACCCTCAACGTCTTGGGTATCTAGAACAGATGCCAGCAGCCTCTGCCCATTCTCCTAGTTCCACACGCACCTGCTCCAGAAGGCTGCAAGGTATTGGCATCCCAGAATTACCCTTTTCCTCCCAGACTGGGCTGTCTTCCCTGGCTCCCACCCAAAAGAATGGGTTGCACCCCCCTCCCCCCAACACACACACACACACACACACAAGGCTTGTGTCTCACCTTGATGTAGACATCCAGGGCAGGATGGACACGGCGGGAAGCCAACCAGATGGACAGGGTGGTGGTGTAGGGGAAAGTGGCTGTCACCACATGGCTGGGTGCCGGGAAGGAGAACACCTTGAAGCCAAATTTCTGATAGAGTTGGATAAGCTCAGGGGAGGGTGATTCCTCACCTTCGCTCAGAATGCTACCCACTGCACAACGGCACTTCTCAGGGGGTACCTGAAGAGGCAGAAGAACAGTGTCAGAACTGGGCAAAGGAAGTAGGCACAAACCTCTTTATTCCTGGATTGTGTGCCAGTTTGGGCCTGGAAAAAGCACCAGTTCTAATAGGCTACGCAGTTCCAGACACCAGGATAAAGATTTAGATTTTTCTGTTAGAATCTATACAGGGCCAAGGTCAATAACATTCTGCTGGAGAACTCATCCATCCTTCCTTTACTCCTCCAATAAACAAGCCACATCCCATTCTGGATGTAGAAGGGCTGTCGAAAGCACTGAGCAGGAAGCCGAAGGTCACGGAAGCCGAAGGTCGCTGGTGGAACTTGAGGGACCCTCTTCCCCAGTCCTCTGGCAAGGCTCCACCATCAGTGACGCCTTCAGACCTCTTCTCCAACTATGCCCCAACCCACACCCTGTTCCATTTCCCAAGTCCCTTCCTGGCTGAAGTGGAAACTGCTGGTCTCCCCTCCATGTCTCTCTTCACTGACTCCCTCCCTAACTACTCTCCCCCACTAGGCTCCCACCAACCCCAGCCAGGTAGGGTTTCCCTGAAAGTTTCAAGTGTCTCCTCAGGCTGACCCCAGACCTATAAAGGCCAGCAATCACTTCTCCCAGCACCAGAAGGACCCAGTTTATCTCACCACCTGCCTTCTGAGTCTGCAGCCATCCTCAGAGTTATCTGCTCCAAAAGACTCACCAGAATCTTGTGCTCTCAATCCTGGGCTTTCCTTGACCTGAAGGCCTCTTTCTTCCTCTATCCAGGGCCTACTAGCCCCTAAACTTAAAATTCCCTCTACCTCCATTTGTTCCTCTCCCCAACCCACCTTCGCAGAACTGTGAATTCCTTTTACCTGTTCTTGACTCTGCCCTTCCATTCTGGCACTTTAAAAAAACCCTGTCAACAATACCCTAGGGGGTTCTCAGTTACGTTCTGCCTCTATACCCTGGGCAACCAGCCATGTCTTTAGCTTCTCATTTTCTCTAGACTTGGGCAATGACTCCAGGCTCTCACCTCTATGTAGTACCTATGGGTCACCCCCAGTTCTCTAAAACTCTCCTCTCTTGCTGTCCCCTAGAATCAGGGCCTACATCATCAAGCCTAGCTCAGCGCTTTAGTGGTAGGAATCATGATGCAGTAGTGAGGACCACAGCTTCTGAAGAGAGGCAAGCCTGGGTATGAATCCTGAGTGAAGTCCCTTGGTTTCTTGGAGCCCTGTTCCTTGATAGCTACTTGCAGAATTGTCATATTACAATGAGGTAAGTCAAACAACAAATCCTTGGTCTAGAATGCCCATTTACCCAAACCTCTGAATACGTAGCTCTTCTCTACCCATCCTCCAGGTTCAAATACTCTTTTGGAAGACTTTCAGGGTGGCCTGGTGGTACAGGTGCACACACACACTGTATTAAATCCTTGCCCACATTAAATCTACCATATCAAAATTACCACATCAAAACACAGTCAATTCTCTGGGCTTGAAGCTCCTCCGAGGACCCTAACCAGGTCCAGGCAGTGGACATTCTGCAGTACCACATATTATCTCTAGATGGTGTAACTGCCCCATTCACCCCCAAGATTTGTGGAAGGACAGAAGGTTGAAGAATCTGGCAGGTCTTCTGCTGACAGACTAAGGAACTGTGCCTGACATAAAGCCCATCTTCATGTCCTGGCCCTGGCAACCTGTGCTACAGAGAAGAGACATACAACATAGGTTAGGTAGAAATGGATGGAAAGTTATTTGATCTTTCCTCTCCAACCCCTGACCTGGATTTGGGCCTGGGAGTTTTTTTTCTGGAATTACTTCAATAGTTCTCATGGGGCTCCCAGTTTAACATCTCCCTCAGCTAAAAGGTACCAGAATACCTGTGATCATCTGTTTAGAATTCTTAGTAGCTCCCAGTTCACCTCTAGGATGAAACACCTGAGCCTATCATGCAAGACTATCTTAGTCTGGCGCAGGCAGTACTGCACAGATTTGTCCACACTCACCTAGCAGCACACTTTTCTGCATCTCCAAGCTTCCACAGGGGTCAGAACCCAGGTGGGCAAGCGCCCACAGAGTATCTGAGTAGCAAAAGGAGGAACAAATCCAGGCTCTGGCCCAGTCCGCCTTGCCAGTCTCCTCTCCTACTACACCCCCGCTTACGCCCACATGGAACTATTTGCAGCTCCCCAAACATGCCACGTCCTCCCATGCTTCCTAGCTTTGCGTAAGCTACTTCCTCTGTCTGGAATGTCCTTCTTCACCCTACTCCACAGTCCCTTCTGCCTGGGAAACTCCTGTCCATGCTTCAAGACCCAGTTCAACTCCTCCTCAAAGTCTGTTTCACCGCCAAGCAGCCCTTAATCTCTGATCCCAAATGCTCAGTCCAAGGAGGTCTTATGCTATACTGTACTCCATCTTTCCCCAACACTCCAGGCCTCAAGGCAGAAAGATTCAAGATCTCATGCACACACAGCAAGTTCTTGAGTTGTGCTCAGCAACAGTATACACATGTAGACACAGCACCTATGGGTCCTGCACCATGAGTAAAGCTCTTCTCCCTCCACCTTAAAAAAAAGAGGAACTCTCTGACAGGAGACGATTCTACAGGTGTGGACACTCCCTACCCCCTTCTTTGCCCTGGCCAGTGTTAAAGGGCAGCCAAAGAGGTTATTCAGCAAGCCAACCATCTGCTCAGCAGCCCCTTACTAAGCTGGAGACAGGAAGTAGCTAAACCAGGTACTAGCAAGGAGGAGAGGGGAAAGGTTCTACGAGTAGCAAGGCTGCTCTAGCAGCAGGGGAAGTCTTATCTGAACTCCCAGGAAAACCCAGACCCACCTCTAGGGGTATGGTCCGCTGAGGTTAAGGATCCAGAAGGAGTCATAATGGCTAGAACTTTATTTAGTTCAACATAAGGCTTTTATTTGGGCCTAACCCTAAGACTGCCCAGACCTCCCCTGTTCCACTGGCCTGATTCCCTCCCCACATTAGTCAGTCCTCTAGGTACCTGTGCCTAGAACAGAGCTAAACCAAAGCTAGTACCAGCAAGGAACCACACCAGGGAGACAGGACAGTGGTCAGACCTACCACTACTTTGGGTAAAGGTAGGACCATCTACAATCTAACTCAAAGTCTGAGAACTTAAAAAGAAATACTAGAGTAGTCCTATTACCAACCCTATTTCTGAGGTCCAGAGAGCAAAGTTATTTAACAAAGGTCACACAGTAAAGCATTGTTGGAGTAAGGATCAAACCCAGGCAGCCCGGTTCCAGAACTGCATCACAAAGACCAGGTAACTTGCAGAAAGCTGAGACTAGACAAGAGACTGGCAGGCTGGCGGGGCACGTACAGGTACAAAGTCTTAAAAGCATAGCCCCCCACCCCCCCAGAGGCAGGGGTAGATGCCAAAGGTGCTAAATACCTATTAGAGATCAGGTATTGGGTTTTAATCATTATTTAATCCCCCCAAATAACAAAACCCCAAGATAAGGATTCTCAGAAACTTCTGACTATTTAGAGTCACAGGCTGGTAAGTATGGATTCTCGACTCAAACCTAGAAACACCAATGCTCTCTTCTTCCATACCTCAATTTTCCTCCCAGGCAGCCCTGCTTGAAAGAGAGGGGTTCACCTTTCTAGGACTACCTTATAATTAATCTGCTGAGTGGAGAAGCCTGGAGTCCAACTGGCAGAAAATCATCACAGTTACTAGTGTAGAGGATGACCTGGATGCTCAGGAAATATCCCCATCCATACTCTCATTGTCCTTACTGACTCACCCCTTCCAAGCTCCATGTAATTTCAATGCTTCCAGGGAGGGCAAGGAGACTCATCTCACATACAAACTGAAGGGGAAGTGAGGCGTGGCACACGCTAAAGTCAGGTCTCTCACCAGCCTTAGCCCCTGCAGACTTGGTGACCCTGGGTCAATTCTCAGTGGACAAGGGGAAAGAAAGTGCTTCCACAGCTATCTAATAAATGTATACCGGGGTTCTCGTAGGTGGTGCAACGGGTTAAAACATCGCATTACGAAGCTCCCCGAAGCCACTTCAGCAGGAGTTTGATCCCCGACCAGGGAGCTGACCCACATGGGGCAGCAGACCTCTCCTGACCAGCCTGCTGCTCCCCTCAGCAGTGTATTTCAGTTGATCTGCCTGTTCTGCTCCCCACTCTGTCTCTGGTGAATCCTCTCACCCCCCATACCTCTGGCCTGTACCCCAGTTCTGTAAGCATAAATAAATAAATAAATCTTAAAAAAAAAAGTATATCCAAATGCCACCAGTTTCCCCCATCTCTCCATGCCTGGGGCAAGAACCCCCACTTAAGCATCAGCCAGCTGCCATGCCCCCACTTAAGTCAGCCAGGCTCCCCACAAGGGCAGGCAGGATGCTTAAGCAGAGGCAGCAGAGGGTGGGGCAGGATGTAGAGGGGACAAACTGGAGACAGGACAGTCCTGTAGGCACAGTGATAGCAGCCCAGTTACTAGAACCTGTCCATGGGCCAGAACTGGCCAGGGTCAAGGAGATGCTTAGGGTCCTCCCAGCTCCTTTCCTCTCCTCAACACCCAACTCTCCCAAAGGAACAAGGCCTAGGAGGGGAGGCTGAAGTCACTGTCCAACCCTCAATCCCCATCTCAAAAGCAAGGCTGAGTACAGAGCAGATCTGACCCTTTTCCAGTCACACATAGGCAGGGCAGAATTTGATCTAAATGTGTGCACTCACGGTGGGGGAATGAGGTGGATAGACCTGCGACTGACTCTGGCACTCACACTCTCTCCCTTCCCCAAGTACTTAGAAGAGGAAATGGTCCACAGTCTATGAATACCTAAGAGGGACAGTTATGAACCACTGACTGGACCAGTACACTTCCTACAAGATGCTGCTTTATTCCTTCCCACACCCAGCAAGGTCTTTAGGAATACAGAATGGAATCCTTCCTTCTGCCCCTCAGGAACCAGTCACCCAGACTCTGCTACCTCCTCCTATAAAAAAGAACTCCACACATGTATATCCAGGTGTTTAAGTGTTCAACAACATCTGATATGAAGGGGTCCATAGCAATCCCCACAACCTTGCCTTGATAGTTCCCTTTCCTGCCTGGGTCACAGTCAAATGAGGCAGATGAGGTCTCATCAGGAACCAGCCTTGCCCCAGAAGAAGGATTACTAAGTACTGTCTGTCCACCTCTCACAGGGTGGGCAGCATCCACAGCCAAGTGGCACTTCTAACCTGGTCCTACACTGTACCCCACACATAGCCTGACGCAGTCTCACTCCTATACCAAACTCATGGAGAAGCAGGTTCCAGCTCCCACTGTGTGAGCTAGGGAGGGAAACGTGGGAATGGGACATGCAATAGCTCAGCCTGTATCCTAATCTTTCCTTGTGACCCAAAAGATGCAGGACCTCATGCTGGACACTGCTGGGGAGGCAGCCTAAGCTGGGATTCCTAGCATTTTCCAATATAGGATCAGACCTTTCCTCCAGGCTTCCCTGATACCCCAATACTTACAGGTTGAGGGCTTCCCCCACTGTCCCTTCCCTTCCCATATCCCAGGCACATGAATGAACTGTGTGAGATCAGTACCTCACCTCTGCTATCTCATCTTTGGTCTCCTCCTCGTTAGTTATCAGCAGAGTGAACCGACAGGACTAATATACTTACAGACCAGGTAGTCTGTGGTAGTCACAAGCACCTGAAGTCTGGGTGCACCATACTGCATGATTCCCTGAACCATTTAAGAACTCTACCAGGCAGAGAATATACTGCCTAGCTGCAGAGTAGGTGGTAACTAGGCATCCCTTAACCATCCCACGTGTCAGGATATGATCTAGCTCTGAATGGGGACATAGGTGTCTCCTGGAGTGACGCAGGACTGGAAGGGACAGGATCGAGGGGGTTATCCTTGGCCAGATGTCCACAGCCAGACCAAGGGTCTAGGAATAGGTTGTGAATGTTGGGTCTAACTCCCCAGCATACCTAACTAGCGTGAGAGGTTTTCCCAACCTTTTTCTGTTGCTATTTGTTGAAGGCAAGGGTCCTTGGTGGCTCAGTGGGTTAAAGCGCAGCACTGTGAAGCTGGCTGCAGCAGCTTCAGTGGGAGTTCAGTCTCTGCCCGGGAGGTGACGCACATGGTGCAGCAGACCTCTCCGTCTCGCCGGCTGCTCCCTTCAGCAGTGCACTCTGTTGATCTGCCTGTTCTGCTCCCCACTCTGACAATGGTGAATCCTCTCACCGTTCCTGCACCTCTGGCCTGTACCCTAGTTCTGTATGCACAAATAAATCAATCTTAAAAAAAATTTTGTTGAAGGCGAATGCCTCGCCTGTGTCTCTTAACTTAATTCTTGTCTGTCTACCTATGAAACAAGTAATTTTATTACTACTTTGAAGATGAGGAAATGAATTCTCAGAGAGGTAATGTGATATGCCCCAGACCATACTGCAGGACAGTGACAAGACAGAATCTTGAGTGCAGAATCTTGCACTCTCAGGCCATGACCCCCAGTGTGGTACTCAAAACCAGAGTGTACTCAGTCAAGCCTGGTAGTCCAAGGTCCACACAGTGTCCACCACACCTCTGGAATAAAGGCAGTGGAAAAACCAAGAGCCATGGGGAGAGTGCCCATGCCAACATTCTTCTAGTTCATTCTTCCCTGACCCCAATGTACTCTGCTGCCTTGACCCTTTCTCACTCTAGAATTAGTACCTCCAACAATGTGCTGTTTCTAGAACAAGAAAACAAGCTGATGAGGAAAAGGCCATTGCAAGTACTCTCCTTTTCCCACTGAGGCTCTGTAGAGGGCTTCAACTGTATCAGGTATGGAAGGAGGGGCAGGAACCAGGAGAGGGAATAGGATGGGAAGGAATATACACAACAGACCCCTGCAGAAGCAGGGATCAGACATCTGGACTGGGAGCTTCACACAATACAGTGCCTGTGCCATTCCACTTGGCTTCAGTACACTTGACTCCCACTTAGTGCCATCTCCCAGTCATGTTACCTCTGACCTGAACCCAGCCCAATCTCCTTGAAAACATCCCTGCCTCATCTCCCTCTTCTACCTGCCATCCAGTTAGCTTCCTTAACTGCAGGTGGCAAACTACATCATATCTTTCTTCCAATTTGCTGTGCCTCCTACCACCAGCAAACCCTCTATTTCTTTCTCCACCCACATGTCCACTGGTCACACTTCCGTATCTCAGGCCTCCAGGTCTTTTTGTTCTTGCATTTCATGTCCTTCCCAGCAGAACAAAACTATCATAGGAGAATACCCAGTTGAAATCCACCTTGCCTCTGAACCTCCCCAACAGAACTGAACCCTCAACACAAATGGGCAATGAGCTCAGTGTCTTAATTGGAAAATCATTTGTGTGACCTGCCAACCACACAAATCTTCCTGAGAGAAGAGCCGAGTCTGTCCATCTCCAGAGCAACGGTGTCAAGCAGAACCTGGCAAAGAGGGAACCAAACACCCTTGTTTCAACTGAGTGTCCAGGTGAAGCCTGTCAGCTGACAGTAACCAGGATATAGCAGGCCTTACCTCTTGCGCTCTCCAGGCAAGGATACCAGGGCTGGGGATTCCAAATGTTTGGGTTTCTAAGGTTCAAAGCTGGAGGCTGAAGAGCCCTTGGCAGACGTGCTAGTCCATGCAGCCGTGGGCAGCACCGCCCATGGTATGGCAGGAGGCTACATTGGTAAGTTTTGACTCACTGCAGGCTGTTAAGTACAGCCAGACGCCCACAGGGTGCCTATGATGCTGGCGTAGTCTCTGCCTCCTGCATCTTAGACACTCTGGGCAGCTCACCTGGCTCCACTTGCCACCACCCACATTAACCCCCCTCCCACTTTAGACCTCTCCTAACCAGGTAGCCAGATGTCTAAAAACACTGATCACTGGGCCAGGGGCCACCAGAATGGTTGGAAAGGTGAAACTCCAAGTCGCACACAAAGGACTAGCCCTCAAGGACTTGCGGCCGTAGTCAGAGTTGAAAGAGAGAAAGCACAGAAACGATAAGATATGAGAAAGTCAAATCTGAGTAGTCTGTTCTTAGAATGTTGGCCTTAAATGGGGACAGAAGAAAAAGCAACAAGAAGAGAATGCAGATGACCAAGGTTCTGGCAGAAGCCAGGACTCATGGTGGTGCAGTACTTTGTACTCAGAAGTCCTTGGGCAGCCATGACCCAGGGGAACCAGACCTGGACAAGTAAAAAGTTAGCATAGAGATGCCTAGAGCAGAAGGTCAGGCTAAATCTAGACAGGAGCTTCAAGCTCAGAGAGTAGGTGGTCTGGAGGGCCAACTCAAAGATTTTCCCACGTCTTCCTCAGAAACCAAATGCTCCCCAGCACCCCACCCATACACACAGGTCTTACCCCATGGACATCCATGGGACAGTGCCCCAGCCAGGACACAGGGGGATCCTTACCATTTGGGGGTTGTCATAGTAGATGGCGATGGAACGGAGCTTGGGGGAAACACTACAGCTCTCGGTGAAAAGTCTCCCAGTCTCGCTGTAGGGTCCCATGTGGAACTTGTAGGCCACAGTGACATTGAGGATGGGGGGTGAGCCAGCACTCACTGTCACCCCAGCCAGCAGCCCTGAGTACCCGGCAAAGGCCAGCAGCGTCAGCAGCAGCAGCAGAGTCAGGACCCCAATCAGGCCCAGAAGTAGCAGGTCCGACATGGCTCTGTACCCCCTACGCCGCGCCCCAAGGTAGCTGCAAAGGAGACAGAAGGAAGAGGAGGCTGGTAGCCTGCTCTGACCAATGTGTCCACCTACCTGCCAACCAGTTCTGGCCCAACCTTAGCTCTGCCTTGGGTGATCTGACCCAGGAGGGGGAGGGACTAGAAGTGTTTACACATTAGTGACCTAGAAGGGAGCTACAAAGCATGACTGAAGCCACAAGCCTCTTTATTTCTTAATCACAATAGCTGAGTTTCTCAGAGCAGCTCTGCCTGTCAGCTGAGACATTTGGTCACACCTGGGGAAACTGAGTCATCGAGGGGTACAGGAGTGAGTCATAGTCAAGGACAAACTCCCAGCCCTGAAAAGCCTCCTGAGATGGGCCAGTCATCAGCCATCCTGCCTTTTCTCTGTAGTGCCTCTTCCTTCTTAGAGCTGAACACACTGCCAGCCCAGTCCCCACAAGCCTCATGAACTGTCAGAGGGAGAACAGGCAAGTGCCAGGGTGCCAACACTTGTTAATAAACCAGGAAACAAAACCCCGGTGGGAAATGTGCCATTGGAAGAGGCTGTTATAGGAAACTATCCTTTGCTAATAAGGATGTTTGACCCTTGCTATCCAGCAAGCTCATCCATCCAGAACCAGAGAAGAAACTAATTCAAATCAGCCTGAGCAGGCAGAACACAGTCCAACATGCTTCCCAGACCTGAGCTTCATCTCACCTTTCCAGACCATATATTGGAAACAGCAAGAAAGAAGAAAAAAAGACTGCTAGAAGTAGAGAAACACAAGAGGGAGAAGTAACAGTTAACTCCTACCTGGACAGTGCACTTCATCCTGTGGGGAGGGGTGCTTTGTTAGGGGAAGACTGTCACTCCTCCCACGTTTTCTTCCTTCCACCAACACCAGTGAGTGTTTAGAATTTACTCTGTGGCTCTGTTCTCCCCACCCTACCTCCTGTACTAGGCAGTTCAAAGAAAGACATCCTGGGGTAGGGTGCGGTATTTTTTCTTGTGTGTGTGTATGTGTGTGTATAGTTTGTCTGACAATTCTCTCTTCCCCATTCTTCAAATTTGCATAGTAAAAGCAAAAGAGATGATTGTTTGGGGGGGGGGGCGGGGCGGGGGAAAGGCAGGTGGGTGTAGCAGAGAAGTTATCCAAGAGAAGGCCCAGAAACACAACCCAGACCAGGGTGTGAGCAATGCAAGGCAGAAAACTGTCTCCAGGAAGCTTGGGATCAACAGTCTAACTTTCTTACTGAATCAAAAAATAAAAAAAAGAAATCACAACACAAAGACAAATTTAAAGGGAGGAAAGCACTGGAGAAGCATTCCTACCCCAAGAGTTTAAATATTTAAAATCTAAAAGGTTGGGGAGCTAAATGTCAATACATCAGTCCTATGGAATGTTTCTTGTCGGTTCTGGGCATCAATTTTTTTTTTTTTACTGAAAAACTGTCTTTGGAGTTAATGTGGACATGTATTTATCTCAAAAGAAGCAAAGTAAATTTCTAAACCTTTGGTGTCCACACTGAAATGTCCCACACGAGTCTTCATCTATCCATATTCCCATCACCTAGGAACCCCTGAGTTTTTGGCAACAAAGGTGACTATCTTTTGGGGGGACACATTCTCTGCATCTTGCCTCCAGTTAGATTTATTCATGTTTTGATAAGTCTTTCACTTAGTACTTACAACATGGCAGGCACTACTAAATGTTGAAACACAGCTATTTCAATAATCCTCAAAACAAGGTAGATATGGGTCAGGAAATAAGTAGTTAGAGGTCACACAGGTATTAACAGTGCATAAAACCCCACGGACCAAAATGCAGGCAATCGTACTCCAAGCTCCCATCTCTCCTGTCTCTCTTGTCCTTGGTGAGTCCAGTAAAGTCCAAGCATTTAATCCACTGTGGACATTTCTGAATACAGGCTCTCCACTGGAAGCACTCAGGATCTACTTGTCTTGGGAGTCACCAGTCCTCAGCTGCACACTTCCTGTCAAGGGAACTTAGTTCCCAGGGTTCTCTGCCTCTCACCTTCTAAATAGTCTCAGAGGAGGGGGGAAATGCACCTAGGCGGCCTCAGAGGTTTGGGTAACACAGGAAGGGGAGAGGCAACATGAATTTCCCCATACTCAAGAGAAAAGGAAGAAGAGCCAAAGAAGCTCACCTGAAAAGCCAGGCTCACTTTTAGCAAATCATGGCATCCGGCGCGGCAGGGACCAGTCTTTCCAATGCTGGGGGCAGAAAGGAAATCATCACAGAGTTGGACACCAAGCCCTGATTGCTCCCTTGTTAGGGCAAGCCCATGGGGCGTCTCTGCAAGAACTCCCTCCTTCAAGTTTACATTCCCACCATTTCCTCAGACCCCTTGAGGGGGATTACAGGCCACCCTCTTTGGCAGGGTTGTTCTGCTGAGCCCGCTTCCTCTGGGCTCTGCTCTAGGCCCAGCTCGAGCCGCTAACCTTGGGCAGGCACTGCCCTTCTTGGGTCTCGGTTTCTCCAGATTCAGAGGCCGGGGTGGTCCCCTCCGTCGGGCGCCCGCGGGCGTCGCGGCGGACGGCCAGCGCCCACTTCCTGGAGCCGCTCACGTGCGCCGTCGCGGCAGGCCCAGCGCTTAAAGGGCCCCGCTGTCGGCAAGACTAGGGCGCCAGCGGCGGGCGGAAGACCGGGACTCGGGAGGCCTGACTGGGGCGGAGGACACGCTGCCCCCCACTCTCCGCTTCCAGGCCCTGCTCAGTGGCTTCGCCTAATTACCCAGGCCCTTTTTTTTTCCCTCATCGGGACCCCACGCCCTCCGCAACTTAAGGGACGCTTAAAGTTTGCAGCAAGCGGCGAAGCTCGGCCTCAGGGGGCGGGGGCGGAGTTAAACACAGCTCGGCTCCTAACCCCCTCCCTCCGGCTCCACAGCGAGGCGCGCCTGTACCGCGGCAGAAGCAGGGGGTGGCCCAGGGTGGTAGGGCTGGTCCAAGGTCGCATTTGGGCCCTAGGACCCGGCCTGAGCCATTGTGGGCGAGACAAGATGCAAAGAGTGGCCGGGGCCGCGGGGCTAACTCTGGGATTGCAGTGGGCCCCCAGGTCGCACCAGGGCAGACCGAGGCTCCAGACACTCGACACACAGGAGGCTGCCCCAGCGGGGACACCTCCACAACAGCCGGGCCCTCACCTCAGCCGCCGCCCGCCACGGACGCCAACCCGCGCAGGCGGCTCCAGGCTCAGTCGCGGAGCCTGCGCGCGCCCGCCGCGCACGCACGCTCCGCCCCATCTCGCGGCGGGACGTGGCCGTGGGCGCGTGCGCGCGGGACCCCGAGGGTGGAGGCCTGTCCCGCCCTGTCTCCATGGAAACTAGCGTGAGCTGTCAGGGGCGGAGTCCACCCGGCGCTTTCCAGTCTCCCATAAACTACCAGGTAAGAGAGGGTGACTTAGCAACAACCTTGGCATCCAGGCTAGCAAGAATATCACAAGAGCGTGAGAGGAAGCCAGCCTAGTGACCCACAGTAAAGAGCCAGGCTGGGGTCCACGAAGCCGGCCCCAGAGAGGGACATTTAAAGATGGTCAAGAAGTAGAGTCTAACAGTACAGTTTGAGGCAAGAACTTCTACTTCCTACTTGCTGGCAGAGGTTTCACAACAGGCCTGAAAACTGAGCCAGGCAGGGCCACTTACTGCTGTCTTACAGATGAGGAACCTGAAGCCAATCTGTGCTCAGGGAAGCTGATAGATATAACCTCTGGACAGCGCAAAAAGTCAGCTTCATGCATTCAACCCTCCACCCCTCCTTAACCCTGCCTCACCACCTGGAGTACAGGGGTGATTATTAATTCTCCAAATATTATTAAAAATCACTCCTTGTCAAAACAGCTCAGGGATCTGGTGACACTGAGTGAACAAATCCGAGGTCCAAATCTTTTGGGGCTCTTCACAGAAAAGATGCATTTCCAGGTTCCTCCCTAGTGCCCTGGATGTGGCTGGGAGAGGTTGGTTGATCTGCTGCCCTTCTAGCTTGTATTCCAAGTGACTGCCAGGTCAACTGTAATGACTTGAACATAGGTTCAATCTGCTCATGTTTCTAAGGGTCTATGAACCACAAAGCACTCTCCTGGGGCCCAAACATCAAACCTTAGCCTTCTGAGAGACCCAGTCTTGCAGTAGAAAGTTAAGGGGACAACTATGCACATAAGCGTGGCTATAAGACAGGTTGAGTTGCTACCTGGTATTCCTGACGTGGAGAATTGGTGTTTGGGAGGTGATCATCTTGCAGATCTCAGTATTACACTAGTAAAAGGTAGACTGGGCAAAGACACTCTTAACTCTGGCTTCCTTTTTCTTTACCTCATAGTATTCCTTCCATTGACAGGAAATACTGAACCTCACCTCACCCACAGGGTGAAACCTAACTCTTCTGGTCACACTGGCATAATGGACAGCTGACTCTTTAAAGCTAGAGAGCTGGGCTTATGAACGAACGTAAGGCACATTATCAATCCCTTTGGATGCCCCAAGCAAATGGACTCTACACTTGGAATCATTTCCTGTGAGACAAGGGTAAGCTCTCCTGTGCAGAGACAGCCAGTCTCTATCAGAATGATTTTTATTGGATCAGCTCTCCTGCTTTTCAGAAGCTGGTAAACTCCCAGGAAACACTGTCTTAAGCTATCTTCATCTTGTTCTGTCTGCTTCTCTTCCTTTAGCCTGGATAGGAAACTCAACAGTCCTGGGTTAGTGCTCAGGGCATAATTTAGAAAGGAACTTCAGTGTCCCTGTCCTAAAAGGTGGTTGCCTGTGGCTGGGATTACAGGCTTCATTTTAGGTTGCCCAATTGGAGCACTTTACCCTCGACTGACCCCAGTGAAGCTTCTGTTAGCCACCAGGAGGCAGCAGCCAAGACATTTTATACTCCGGAGCAAGTCTCAGCAGACTTTATCACCTAACCTTTTGCCATGCCCATGCTCTATTCCTAGTCCTATTTTCCAATAGCACATACATAATGTCCTCTCATGAACCCAGATTTGGCCTTTGTCTCTTTCTGCCTCTTCTTTAGTTCAAAGTATCCACAGAGACCCTTTAATTTCCCTCAGTAAAATACCAAGGAATGTTTCCCCAGGGCTCCTACCCTTCAAGGGACTAAAAGGAAGTTAGAGTGGCCATTCCCACCTTTTCCACCTCATGTTGCAAAGTCCTGGTGAGTTCTCTATGAGACAATGGTTAGATCCTCTAACTCAGATGACAGAAAATGTACACGCAGTGTAAGATACTCTGCAAACTCTGTCACCAGTCATTTCCCACCTTCTGAAGGCACTGATGCTGCACCCAGAATCCAGCCACTCACAGCCTACTTAGGAATGCCCCCGCAGGACATGCCATGACTGAGAATCAGCCTCAAGTCACTCCAAGTCAGCTCCAGTTTCTTCTGGAAAGGCAGTTGTCTTCCAGTTAACAAAGGCAGAAAAGCCCTAGTGAATCCCACTGCAACAAAAGTGTAACAATAGTCATCAGTCTGCCCTCTGTTCCCCCTCCATTTCCCCCAACCCCAGCCCTCATTCCACCCCAGTGACCACTATGCTCTAAGTTATATCCCTTTTCCCACCCACCACCCAGCTAAAGAGCTATTTGGACAATCCTTGATCAAACAACACTGCCTTTTTGAGTTTAAATTTTATTTTACAAAAAGAGAAATAAAGAAAACTGATAGGCAGTTATACTGACTTACAATTGTTCTGTTTGCTTTTTTAAAAAAGTGACATGAAACACAAGTAAAAATAAATACGTCATAGAAACAGCCAGTTGCCCAGTCTCTGGGGCAGGAGCACCTGCCCTGCTGAGAGAAGAGGGAAGCCCATGATCACACCAGCAGCTGGAGCACCCAGCCACAGATGCTCCTCAAAGCCAGGCGCAGGTCCCAGGCCTCAGGGGGCGTCCTGAGGAAAGAAGACGGAAAACCAAAGCCAGATGCCAGGTCCCTGGGGCCAACCCATCTCCCCCAAATCCTCCTGGCACCAGTGTGGCCTTAGTGGTTATCCACTGTGACCCCCCTCAACCCACCTGGATCCCCTTCCCCTGAGCCCTCTGTAGAGGGTACAGGAAAAAGCCAATCTTGGGCAGGCCGAGGAGATGATTCTGGTGAGTCCCCAGCCTACCCTGAGTAACATAACCAGATAACAGTCAGTTTACACCCATGTGCACGAGTATGTGTGTGCACATTCTCAGTTTCTCTCACACGCACACATACACACACACATGCACGCACACACACACCCTGGGCTGAGCTCTCTTTTAGGGAAGGATCCTGGGTGAGGTCACAGTATGAGGTGCCCTCTCTTCTGAGTATCATCCCAGTAGTGGTAACAGAGAGTACCTAAAACTACCCTCGTCCTCTGTATTACAGATTCTGCAGTCTGCCTGGCCTCTCCCTCTACCTCTCCCAATGGACTAGCTTACTAAACCTACAAGAGGAAAGGGTCAGACTCAGGTTCCTGGAGAGCAAAGAAGCTGGACACTGCCTGTTCAGGAAGTTCATCGTAAGACTCAGGTATATTCATAAAAGGCCTAAGTTCAAGCTAGTGGCACAGAACAGATATTAAGGGATCACAGCAGAATACACAGGGCAGAAGAGTCAGCAGGAATGAAATGGAATTTGAATATAACTGATGGAGAGCGCAGCATTCTCAGACAGGCCTTGAGGTGCAGCTTTCCTTGGGAGCAGTCAGCAGAGGGTAGGAGGAGGGAGGATATTGGAAGGGTACTTGGGGAAAGAGCTCTTCTGTTTTTGTAAGGGGGAAAGCACTTAGCTGGGTGTACAGGAGGCCATGACTCAGAAGGGAGATCGGTTTTCTGAGGAATCACAGAACTGGAAAATAGGAAGAGGGGAGTCATGGCCAGAACAAGAACGTAAGCCCCAGAAGAGTTTCTCCAGGGATGAGGACTCAGTTCCAGAGCAACGCCAGGCTTAAGCAGACTGAGGCAGAGGGCCTTGCTCTTCTGGCAGCTTTGAGACCCCTGAAGTTTGGTTGTCTCTCAAGCTATCAAATTTTACCCCAGCTATATGCTTTATCCCCTGAAGTGGGAGATTTCCTATTTCATTGTGAACCACAAGTATAAAGATAATCCACACACTAATTTCTAGGGAAGAGATCTCCAAGGACCAGTTATTCCTAAATCAAAGAGATGATGAGATAGATGCATAAGAAGCACAACTCCAGTGGGTGAAGAATGCAGATAGCCAATTCCAAAAAGAAAATCTAATTCAACATGGTTCATTTTCTTACTAAAGTAGCTATTTGGTTCAATTTTCTTCACAAAGATATTAATAAAAGGAGTTCAGCATCACTACAAATGATAATCCCGAATTTTAAAATTGTACTATATTCCCAAGGCTGAGGATTTAGGCTAAACCAGATGACTGGAGTTTGAGAGACTCTTGAAAACATTCTGTGGAAGACAATAGTGAGGGAAAATGCCTAGGCCTGATCTTTTGTCTTTTCTCCTATCACTTGGGCCTCGACTGTGAGGGGAAACCACCACCAGGCATTTCTGATCAAAGAAGATATAAAACATGGTTCTTAGGCTCT